TATCCAAACGGATACAAACTGTAGAAACATCATAAAATCAAAACCTATCAGCTGAGTTCACATGCAGGAAATGGTCCGCTTTCTATAGATACACATAGCCAGGATGATAAACACGGAGATAGCTAGGATAGGCGACCGGATGATAGGCTGCAAGTGCAGACATTCCATATGCGTAGAACTGTCTTTTCTGACGGATGCTGCTGAAAAATGGATGGTCATTTATATATTCGTCTGAAAGCAGTAAAGTTTTACACAACTATCTGCAACCAGACTGACCTGCACATTCTGTGCAGGACCCTAAAACTTATTAGTCAAAAGCAGTTTTTAAAAACGTCCGCAAATAAACAGATTGGAAATAACTAGGTAAATAAGTCTACTGCACAGCATCCACAAAAATAGAAAAGACAAACGAAAGGTCAACCTCCCTCAAAATGCTTGTTGGCCTACAAATGCACATTTCTTGAGATGATGCTCTTTGCGTGCGATACAAATACTAATTGTAGCGCAAACAACCCAACTGTACTTGCTTCATATAAATTGTGAAATGCTGGCTGTATATGAGCAGATTACCGAGCGCCTGTGATTACTGCAGGACTGCGTATGCTCCCATTAGTTTTAGTAAAATAAATCACCTTGTGAAGCAGAAGTATGCAAGGAAACTTACCGTTTCCTAGTGTGCTTGAATATACTAATCTGCTAACATATATGCTAACTTGAAAATTGAACGCATGGACTCAGCTGTTTTGATTGGCAAAAAGAAGTTTTTGAGAGACAATGAGAAAACTGCTGCGCTATCTCGCCATCTTTCTGATCGCCGAAATCACTGCAAAGTGGATTCGTTGATTCTAGATATATTTCTTTGAACCAAGAAATTTACTAAATCAGAAACAGAATTTGGAGCTGGAAATTCCCAAAGCGTTTTTCTTTGTGAAGTTTTCTAATCTTAATGTATTGCAAGGGGTGGATCATTGACGATGCATTAAGCGATTGAAGCTCAAACAGCTCTTACATGTGCTACCTCTGATCAGCGAAGGACGAGATTTGAGCGAGCTAAAATTCAGATAGTTGGTAAATTTTTTAGCATTCTGCATATTATTTGCTAATGAAGTGACCGATGCCTCGGCTTTTTTGTCTAGCGTTACATTGGCAGATCCCCGTGTTTTGAATTTGCAGTAAAATTACCGTTGTGTATCCATTTCTTCTAACTGGTCATCGATCAGTGAATCGGATAATGGATGTGATTGTGCCAAACCAAACGTCAAAGCCAAACTCAGAAGCGACAAGATGATAATTACAGACGCCTTCATTGGTAAAAAGTTTTAGAGAAGCTGCTAGCTGAAAGTAATATATTTCAATTTGAGTTCATCTAACTGAAAACTTTTTGGTACAAGTGAGGGGTGAAAACCACTAAACTGAAGCTGTCCGATCATAGGGCATCTATTTATACTGCATTACTTGGAACTCATACCAAAACTTTTCAAGGAACTTCCGCATTTAGTAATTATTTCATGCGAACTCACCAGTTTTTTTAGCAAAGCAATCTTGTTCTTTACTGAACTATTTAGACAAATAGAGACCTCGAAATTCTCGACTCAAGGACGATTATTGAAGAAAACCGGAAAGTTCTCAAAGATACCCTGTTGGGCTACTTGTAACTTACACTTTTCCGAAAGGTTTTGTTATTTCGTTTGTTAAAAAACATAATTTCTATGCATGAAGTTCCTATTCATTATAGTCCACAGTTACGAGCAAGAGAAGATGTTCACAGATCACGTATTTTTGTTTCGTTAGCTACTTTTTCCAGGTTTTTGGAGATGTTGTAACTCTCATGTCGTACGACTCTCTGTTCCAAATGCTACCCATTACGAATGCGGAATTGCCGATGTTTATCCAATAATTGAAACCGGCAAGTACGAGAGGACTTCTCATGTATAATCTTGCCACTATCATACATCAAAAGAATTTATTTGAATAGTGGAGAAGCACTAATATAGCTTTTGGGATGGTATGTGTCAATCGCCCGTCCGGGTAAGGGTTCCTATGAGATAGTATCCGCTTCATAGCTCGGTGAGCTGGGGATCTGTGTTTTTCCTCGTTTGTTCATCTTTTGGAGGTCCTGCTACCCTACTGATGTAACATAATCATAGCAGCATTTTGCTGTTTAAGTTGATATTTTTGGTATTTTGTATGATTCCGAACGGGATCCTCAAGGAATCACGGCTCATTTCTAAACTCATTTCTTTGCAATAATTCAATGCGAGCTTCGTAGAATTACGCCGCTGATTGGCATTTTTGTGGATGTAACAAGTAGAAACTTTAGCTGACGATATCTTCGATGAACCTCTGCTCGCGAGTTGAGGTTTATCGAAGAACTCAAAACTTTCGCAATTCATCTGTGCTACTAGCAACATCTTTAGCACTGTCATAATATGTTTTCAGCACAACTTTACAACTTTTCATTCAGTTTTTTGCAAAGATAAATAACTTTGAAAATGAGGCCTTATCCCCTGAGAATCTCATTCGGGATCACACAGAGTGCCGAAAATCTCAGCTTACAAAGCAAAATGCTGCTATTCATTATGCCATTGAGGTGGTAGGGCCTCCAAAAATTGGACAAAGAATGAAGAACACAGATCCCTAGAGCACCGAGCTATGAAGCGAAAACTACCTGATTGGGAACACTTACCCGGACGAGCGAAGGATGCATACCACCCTGCATTTTCGTTTATTACCTTAAATTTAACTGTTTTTCAATCTTTTAAAGTAATCAAGCAAAACTTTCCTGTCATCTACTTTTCTAGTTTTATTTGCACTCTTTGAATAATTCTTGATGTACTCTACAAAGAAGATCCGCACATTTTGGATTCTAGTTTTTTAAATGGCTCATACGACTTGTTATGGATCATCAATCCCGGAGTGCTAATGCTAATACCTTCTCTAATAATTTAAGTTCGCGGCATCACAACACAATTGCAACATCCTATGTTACCAGTGATTTTTCTGCTCGCATTGCGATCTTTATCGACTGACTGGTGTCTGTGTGAGAGTCGACGACAATGTAAAAAGTTCTGCGATTAGTCATACCGTGCTTCCTGTTGATCTTATCCCATCAACTCAGGCGGTTATAGCGAATTATATTATCGCTTTCTCTTCAATTCATCCTTAATTCACTATGAAATTTACTGCATTAGTCATCTCGCAATCCGCGTCCTTTTTCTGTGGTGCCAAAAAGTCATTTGTTTGTTATTGTAAATCCAAACATCACATGTATTTAGTTCTTTAGACGTTGCATAAGATCAACTTACATTTCGAGAAGTTTTTAATCAATACCTGTCAAATGCATTTATGTAGCCTTTGTTCCTGATGTGAATATGTTTCTTAGGATCTTTGCAAGTTTGAACTTCTGCTCAATGAATCTAAGATTTTGTAGTTACATATGATTTATGTGATGTAGTGCGCAAGCAAGGAGAATAGGTGGATGGAACCAGTTCTGGTGTCCTTTGGTGTTTGTTGACCTCCTGACAAAAAAAAGCCTTTACACAAGAGATGTTTGCAATGGCTTTGATAGAGGAATTTGATTGTTTTCTGATTGAGAAAGCAAACTCTTTGCAGTGCAAATAGAGACCTAATTAATTTTCTTGAAAGCTCTGCAGTGAATGGAAGCTAAGATTCTAAGCTTTCATTTTGAGAGAAGACGGTAGAGGCTTAGATTTTATGATGTCACAGGATTTTTATGTATAGCTCAACTCCAAAATTTGGAAGTTGGGCCATACAAAAAATTTGAATGTGCAGTTGCATTTATGCTGATTCCAACCTATATGATGAGAAATCAATAACATTTATGAGAACCCAAGATCTTGTAATTGGAGAGCTCTATACGGTTTCTCCACCATAGTAGACAATTCATAAATCATTCTTTGAACCCCATTCAACCCTGAACCCTGTATTCAACGATTGATTGACGCTCTGCTTTCGGGACATTGGTGCTTCTGCCTGTTTTGGCAGTGATATGATGTGCTGTTTACCTCGAGAGATAAGAGCTGATAGCTAGACTTTGTCGCTTGCTCTTAAGGTTTACATTACTTTCCGCCTTCTCTATCTGTACCTAAGCTTGAACTTTTGATGCTTTTGGTGAAAACAAGATATTGTACCTTCGATAAGTCACCATAACCTTCAAAACTTGAAGGTTAGGCGCTGCATAAAAGCTATTATAGCAATATTTTTATATCTTATGCAAAAAAATTTACAGAAAGGCTTTCGATAAAGCTCTTCTACTTTCCTCTATTTCTTACACTTCTTTTTTTGCTCCACCAGTTTTTTTCATATAGTATTTTTTCGTCGAAGTATTTCTGCAAGAAGAATAAATCAAAAAAATTTGCTGTGCAACTATTGTAGCCTAGGCATCTTCGACTGTAATTTGAAAATGACATCTGATATTAGTCATCAGCCTTTATTAGACTCCAGCCTATCTAATGGATTTCGAGTTTAGACTCGAAATTTGCACAGATTTTTCCACACAGAAGAAAAACATTAGTTTGGGGAATATGTCACTCTCTTTATACTGATTGTGAGTGTGAGCTTTTCCACCTGCGTGATTTGGAAATTTCAGCCAAATTAAAAGCTTTTTATAACCATTTTCCAGGCCTTGAATTTCGAACTTTTTGCTTATTTATAAATCAGTAATTCGTCTGTGTGCTACTTCTTTTCAATTTGCTCCTGATGATTGCAGCGGTTCTTAATTATTTGAATTTGTTTGAATTTTTGAAATAATGGATTTTACTGCCGATATACACAGTTGTTTACGATGATTTACATTTTGAAAATAATCATAATAAAATTGCACACATCTTTTGTTATTGCGCGTGTTTATTGGTGATATATCATCAAATTTATAGATTGTTCATGTATTGTAGAACTTTTTGTCGTCTGTATCTCTTATTTCAATTTTTACTCCTTCGAATGCAATGAAGCGGAAAGTTATGACTAAATATATGACTTCTCCTTTTCAGGATGCGACTTTGGCAAGGCATTATTCTCTACCTGTTTCTTTGCATCGGTGCCTGCTTAGCGATGCGAAAACAGGGTGTAGCCGTTCGTGGAGTGCTAAAGTGCGGTTCAACTCCTTCGAATTACAGCAAAGTTCGCATTGTTGACATCGATTACGGTATGATCGTTGAATTGGTCACGATTGATGCTGTGCAATTGAACTACGTGCATAGGACCGGATCCAGATGACACATTGGACGAGAAGAGAACAGACGAGCATGGTCGTTTCGAAGTTACTGGAACCACACGTGAATTGACACCGATTGATCCTGTATTGTACATATGGCACGAATGCAGGGATGAGCAAACGGTGGGTAATAGGTGGTAAATAGAACGGGGCAAATTTTGAGACTAATTGAGGGGGGGGGGGGAATTTGCTGGAAAAATTACAATGATCAATTTCCGCTGCTAAAGCATGTAATTACAACACACATAAAGTTCTGTTATGACTGGTTCCTAAGGTAGGGCTCGGCACGACCTGGCACCAGAGAAATTTCAAAACAAGTCCCCTTTGATCTTGATCGTACGAAGTTTCCTTTGACACTAAACCCTTGAAGTAAAAACCCTCGAAAGACGAAGGATTGACTGAAAAACGTTGTGTTTTTGTGTCTTTTCAGCACAAAACGATATCCCCTTGCTTTTTTGTACTAGAAACGAAGACCAGTTTGGCCGGTACCAGCTGTGCCGAGCCCTATCCTATAGGGATCTAGAGCAAGAATGATTTTTATGAGTGAAGGCGGCTGATTGGATTATTAATATATTATTTCTTCTGGAACCCATAAGAGATCTTGAAACAAGCCCACCTTTGACTTTTTTGACATTGAAGATTTTTTCGTACGAAAAATGGAGAGTGGTATCATTAAGTCTACAAAAGCGAAAATATGTCGTGTTGTCAAAACTTTGCCGATTTCCTCGAGTTCTCGGACTTCGCCGAATTTGCTCATCTTGTTTCTTGATGCAGTGATTTCCTTGAAGCAAATGGATCTCACAAGGGAAAGATACTTGGTCAAAGTGGAGTTTCTATATGAAATCTATATCTTCTCCTTCTTACAGAGTGTGGACGCTGATTTCGAATTTACTTTCGGTATCTGCAAGCACTTTTGAGGGCGAAGGGAATTTCTATACGTAAAGTTAAGCGTTTGACTAGGAGAAAAACAGGTGTTAAGATTCTTCCGGCGTTGAAAACAGTAATGACTAGCATAATTTTGTTGAACGGTATCAACTGCACAAAGTGACTTGGCAGTAATCATGGACCCATCGGAGCTCATCGTTGCAACTCTGAATGATTTTATTTTGTGCGTTTTCAAATTTCTCAAATAATTCCCACAATGCCCTCACAGAAGCGCTTTGCAGATACAAAAGCACATTTTTGGAAATCAGCGTCCCAAGCTCTATAAGGCCCATATACATTTTAAATGGGAACGCCACTTCAACCAAGCATCACTTCTTTGTTAGCTCCGAAAGCAGTACTACATCAGCTCGTGTTCAAACTACCGTAATCATGGTTACGGTACCTGTACGATGCAAGTGTGAGACTGCTTTCAGATCTAAATTTATTTGAAAAAATGGCGAAGAGGATAAAGTCAGTGAATCTACAATTCTTTTGAAAAATTTCCGACTTTAGTCTTAAGCGTAGAATTCCCTCAACTTACCCAAATTACTCTTTGAATCCTTGTTTTGGCAATCCAGAGATCGTGTATAATGAGAATTAGGCTTACTGTACCTTTATAGTCTATGTTAACAGATCCGCAAATCAGTTATCCACAAGAAACTTACCCTTTGATTCAAATGACATGGCAGCTGAAAGGCGGGGCTTCGTGAATTGATTAAGGTTAGGCTATAATCAGAGAGCACGCGCGCGGGAGAGGCGCAGACCGCGTCGCGGGCGAGCGAATTTGGGTTACAAAGCCTCGCCTCCAGCCGCCAAACCAGTTGAATCAAAGTTTACTTATGAGTGACTTAAAATCACGTTTCTGCAGCCCATTGATCCTTGACTTTGAATCGGATCCAGGCTACTTTACAGTTATCTTCCTTGTGGAAATTTTGGAAGATAGTCTGTTCCGGTTTTTCATAGAAATCAATCAGAATTTGTTCAGCCCTGCTCTCGCAAACTCAAGTTCATCATTCCAAAGAAATTCATTCATAACGGAAATCCTACTCCTGAGCAATGGGTCGACATCGGTGTTATCAACCTGGAAGGAGCATTTGACGAAGAAAAACGAGAATGTGTCAACTAATAATGCATAGTATAGGTTTTTGCAGCGTCACCATTGTATTTTCTTATTTTTTGTAAAATTCTTCATTTTCAACACTGTCGCCGGATAAATATGTCAATTTATTGGTTTCATTACTTTTCTTTCAACATTTTTTAGGCACTGCTATCCGAAATCAAAGGCTTTTCTTCGAAAGCAGGAGTTTTGCTTCTTTTGAGAAAACGTTTTCTCAGAGCTCTATTTACAGCAACACTTTTTACATTAAAGCTTTCCATGTCGACTGGACGAGGAATACGAGAACGGAAGCCATTTGAGGCAACGGAGACCCAAAAATAATCAGTCTTGATATTTCAAAGTAAATGACCAACCCACCGTGGTAAGAACATCGTTGGCAATTTTTTTCAAAGACTTTTTGGGACGAGTAGTGGTCTCCGCTCCTCTACATTCAGCCAGAAGAGGTTTGGTGCTGCCATCGTCGGTAGGTAGCTGGAAATGGGACGTCTTATAACTGTTTCTGATTTCGTTTAAACTATTGACCTCAGAAAAGTTGTATTTTTTCAATTCTTCATCCAAGTCGACTTCATCGTTGTCTAGAGCTTCCTCACAATCCGAGTACGAAGACCAGGAAACTGCAGAGTCAGCAGCAGACTCGACCGAAGTTGATCGGGAAATGCTGCTGAGAAAAACGCTATATAGCTCCTATTTTCAGCAAATTAGAAGACGGATTTCCAGTATTCCGACGGAAGAAAATGCAATCTATCGTTGTGATTTCCTTCGGAATCAAAAAAATTGATACCCATTTATGGATCCGCTATCTAAGGCCTCCGTAAATTCGTGCATACTGTAGGTACGCAGACTAGGTTATCGAGATGAAATGGAATTGTTTTATAAATTGAGATATGACGCAGAATTTTGGCAGATGGCTTAGAAAAAGATGATGTTCCAAAGAAGTGGGTGGTATGTGCAATAATAAATTCGTACTCACCCAGCCACTGACGATATTAGATCGCTAGCAAATGAAGCACTTTTTTCAGCAATTTCATACTTTTTCATTGCATCAGCCACCTCTTTGTTCTCAGGAGATAGAAAGACGTCGACATCAGCATCTACCTAATTAATTTAGTCATCGAAATTCTATTATAACTTGATATTGTATATCTTATTGGTTGAGTATTCGAAGCAGTTTATTGACATCAAATTGATTTAGATAGCAAAACGTATAAGAGTAGCCAAGTGTCTTTCAGCCTTGCTTTGACCTCGTTTTCTACGGCTGATTCAAGAAATGCCGCAGACTCTTCTCATGAAATACACTATTTTTTTGTATTTGGCAATTCGGAAAACAATGCTTTGCTTTGGAAGCTGCAGAGTATACCCATAATACCCATATATTAGGTTGTTTTATAAGTCTTCATATTCGAACCTTCAGAATGATAATTCTCGAGTGCGGCATTCACAAGGGTGCAATTTTTTGGCAGTATCTTTGAGCGAATAAGCTATATACAATAAGCTAATAATAATAATAAGCTATAATCACGTACTTGCGGGGACCACAGAAACGTTAGGGACAAAGTTTAAAGATTCAGCGCAATATTTTCTCTTGATATCTAGCCACCACAAAAATGCACCAAGTGTTTTGATGGGGTGAGCATATGCGTGAGCGAGTGGGAAATTTGCACAACTGTTCTGAACAAGATACGATTATTTTGGTTTTTCTTGGGAATTTGAGATTTCTTCAATTTTGGCTTGAAACTCAATGTGGATCAAGCTTGTTGCGAACTTTTTAAGGCCTTCTTGTAGAGCTTGCTTTCATCTGCCGATTGATACCCCGCAGCCTACGAGAAATATGAGAAGAACTGACTTATGTCGGTAAAAATTCAAATGTGAAAAGACTTATAGGACAACCTAATAAATGTCGGATGTTCAGTCTCTTCTTTGATAAAGGCCAAAAGGCTTGTAAATAAGTCGTAACAAAATTAAGCAAGACTGTATCCTCAAATTGTGGTGAAGGCGATATTGCGGCGAACTACCCAATTTGTGAAATTTCACAGTATTCTGGACCAGAACTCAAATTACCCATCCCCCCACCCGTCTCCCGATCAGTGCGTTTTTTTTAGAGATAGTGGGTTCTTGAACGTCGCTTGGATATATAAGCGACTTATTTACAAACTAGTTATATTTTTGGTTTCAACGTGTACAAAGTCTCAAAAGCAAATCTCGTGACTAAAGCTTACATCTTCCACTGAGATGGACATACTTGATTTGGTGGATGGACAAAATTCACTGCTTGTAACCAACTTCTGCAATAAATGGACAGGTGAGTATTTCCACTTTTTTTTCAACGTAGATTATTCTCAGAAGTTGAAGCAAACTTAGAAAGCACAGCTTACCACTTGGGGTTTGATATTTATTTGAGGGCGAAGATTTAGAACCCACGAAGTGAAATGATGCCATCCAGCTGATACTCCAAGAAAGCTTGTAGAAAACCAATGCCAAATGAATAAGGATGTAGCAAACACGATAACCTGCAGACTCTTTGTCACGCATAATCTCTATATACATAAAACTCAAAAGTTGTCTGTTTGGAGGGTATGTGAGTTATAGAAACGCGCGTCATTCAACCGGTTTAGCTGAAAGTTTGCACACAGATGTTTTCGACCCCGGAGACGGTTTTAGGCTACCTTTCATTGGAATTTGCTGGGTCCTTCCATCGATTTATTGAGTTGTTTACGTTTTTATGGATTTGAAGGCTTATCTTATTGAATGAAGCATTTTCCCATAGTCATGTAAGGCTTTGGCCATACTTTGCCCGTGTTGCCGGTGTTGAAAGTGTTGCCGGTGTTGAAAGTGTTGAAAGTGTTGAAAGTGTTACCGGTGTTGAAAGTGTTGAAAGTGTTGCCGGTGTTGAAAGTGTTGAATGGAGATCATCAGTCTAGCAGTTTCATTCTTTCTCGAACGATCTCACCGGCTGGTGACGTTGGAAATGGAATTGGGGAATGAGAAATGAATTTGAAATGAGATGGGGAAGATTTTCATGCAAAAGATCCTCAAACAAACTTTTTGGAAAGTGGATGGCTTGTCTGGAGGCAATCTCCAATATTTGAAAACGCTGCAGACCTCGCTTAGATCCTTCACTCACTAATCGCAAGCGCGGCAGGATTCGAACTAAAACACATTACTACTCAGACTTCAGCTTTTTCAAATATTGGAGATTGCCTATTCCAGACAAGCCGTCCACTTTTCAAAAAGTTTGTTTGAGGATCTTTTGCATGAAAATCTTCCCCGTCTCATTTCAATTCCAATTCTCATTCCCCAATTCCATTTCCAACGTATTCACCAGCCGGTGAGATCGTTCGAGAAAGAATGAAACTGCTAGATTGATGATCTCCATTCAACACTTTCAACACCGGCAACACTTTCAACACTTTCAACACCGGCAACACTTTCAACACCGGCAACACTGGCAAAGTATGGCCAAAGCCTAAAGGAGGGCGGTGAAGCTCATTCTCACCTCAGGATCGCAAGGATGCGATTTCAAAGCTGTCCCAGTGTAAGTCATCCATAACATATAAGAGAGGGGGAAGGGGCTTGCAATGCAGGTTAGCAATGACCCGCGCTGGACCGGAAAGCCAACTAGTGTGAAATAAAATTAATAAAGCACCTTCTCCTTCCAAGCCGTAAATCTTGGCAGCACGGGAATAACACGAGAGCCTTTGACCTTTGTGTGAAGCGAAATAAATTGTGCCACAGCAAAAACGATTGCATAGAGAAGATATAAATGGAACAGCACAAAAATTAGAAAGTACTGCATAGGACGTCGCACGTAATGTGGACGCAAACTGTTCTGAAAGGCTTCTGGTCAATATTGCAGCTTTAGATGAACGCTGCCACAATCGTACCAACTTAGAGATACTTCCATCGGCAATTTCTTGAAATTTTGTGCCTAAAATATGGCGTCACTATTCTTACAGTAGACTGCCCAAATTTTGCATTATACATATGATATTGAACTCCATCGCATTAAAGTATTTCACGGCCTTTCAGGCATCCGTCAGAGTTTGCCGATGTTACCATGCTATCCGCGTTACTCGTGTTACTCGTATGATCCTTACCAGGGTTATCACTGTTGCTAGTGTTACCGCTGTTACCAGTGTTATTAAAGTTACTCCTGTTACTCACCAGTCAATGAGATTGCGATTCTAGAATGAGACGTATTTGCGATCATTTCACTACTCTACAATAATGAAAGCGGTAACACTAGTAACACTAGTACACTAGTAGCACGAGTAAGACCAGTAACACTTGTAACACCGGTTAACTCTGACGGATCCCTGAGGTCTCATTCTGGTGTGCTGACTTCATCTTACTGTTGAATTTACGATGTAAGAAGAATTAGCGATAGGCCCCGGTCAGACTTCACGCGACTTAATCGTCGCGACCAAATCGCCAAGATTTCCATTCATTTTCATTTCACATTCAAAAATTTCGGTCTGGAAAAGTATCACAACCGAATGCAAGTTGATCTGCATGGAATGATGTTGTAACAGTTGTCTCCTCGCGATTCAGTCGCGACGATCAAATCGCGTGAAGTCTGCCCGGGGCCATAGATTTCCAGTACTGTGAGATTATTTACGACAAGGAATTAGTGCAGTAAATTAGAAGTTGGGATGTCAGTGGAAGAAGAGAGTTGAGAGAGATCGCATACAATCCTATACCAGATGCGATTGAAGCCGTGACACAGGCGAGAGCGAGATCCCGGGTAGTTTACTGTAAAATTATGCAGCAATTTTGACCTTTCATAGTAATTTGTTGGCAGTCATATGGTGCGAAAGACGATCTACCCAGACTGTACAAAATAGTTTTACAGTCAATCCAGTTATCTGAAACCACTGTTAGCTGTAAAGCGTTCACTATATTCTTTCCATCGCAATCCATCACAACCACAAATCTCTTGCAGGAACGAAGAACAATAACCTGTCATTTTACAGCCCGTAAAGCTTTGTCCAAGATACTGTCTTTCACAGATTTGCCATTGAAAAAAGAGTAAGAGAACTAACCAGCTCTTAATTTCCAAAACAGTGCCAGAATTGATTCTTGAGCATCCTTGATACATTGCCGCCAAGAAATTCTCATCGGTGCAAAATGAACATCACGATCATAAATCAATTGGTGAAGAATACATCATAACTTCATGTTTGTTTGCTAGCAATGGTCAAAGTCTTTCATTCCTTTCCGAAAAAGTTACTCTATCGAATTTTTGCCATGGAATGTGCATCTGTATCCACTATATAAGGTGCATTCGAGGATTAATTTGAAAAGTTCTGCACGAAGAAGAAGTTTCCACTTGTCAAAGAAAGATCCAACTTTGCTGTGATGATTCTGATTAATGCCTTTCATGAGTAAGCTTTGCTCTTTCAGAGTGCCCCGTCCATTTATATTGACAGTGCGGCTGCGGCAGAAGAAACACTCATTACTTTTGCACCAACTCAGACAATTATTGCGACCACCCGCGGAAGGGCCCCGTCGACGTTTCATCCATGCCGCGGGTGTAGAATAAACGCACGCTAAGCGGCCGAAGTTACCCGCGGATGCGTCGCTAAGCGCTCGAACGACACCCGCGGATGTCCAGACAAGCACCCGACGGATGCGCGATATGCATCGCTAGTGGCCCGATACGCGGTTGCTAAACGCAGTAATTTACATTTATTCCAATTTTTGAACACCTGTTTCCATTTTTCTCGCCCTCGCACACGGGTCAGGATATGCGTCAAAATTTGTCTTCTGTCTCAAGGCCCAAGTTCCAGATTTAAGTAACCCTAAAAGAGGACACCTCAGGCCCCCGCCAGAGTGCCGAAACCACGCCAGCGCTGCGCCGGCGCCGAGCCACCGCCGAGCTGTCAAATTTGTTCGGGGCGGGGCTAGCTAACCCTATGCGGGCAAGGGCTACCGGAGCTTCTGGCAGATTCGATCAATAGTCGCATCTACCTTGCTGAGAACTAGGTCAGCTAGCCCCGCCCCAACGAAATGCACGTGTATCGATCGAAAGAGCGCCGGGGCAGCTCGGCGCTGGCATGGCTTCCGCACTCTGGCGAGAGCCACAGCGTACCGTCTTTACTACAAGCCACATACCAAGGAGCGATAACCAACGACCCAAACGTTGAGGGTACCTCTATCAGCGCAACGTATCTCACGCCAGAAACTTTTTTGCTTACAGCGTGCAAGAATTGCGGCGTCTGGCAAGACGCGCGGCTTGTCAGACTGATTCTGTGCCGTTGCCTAGAAGATCCGGGGCCTGCCCGAAAATGATGTGCGCGGCACCGATTAAGCCCGCGGCATAACTGAGATACGATATGGGCGGTGTCCGGTAAGGGCCGAAGCTTGCCCGTTGCAGAAACTACGTTAAAAGGTCCGTGGCCCGCCCGAGTGTTTTTTCCCGGATCGAGGGTGTCCCGGTAGAACAATTAAAATCCGCCAGTTTTAACTAGCGAAAACATTGAGCCGCGGGTCATTAAGCAAGTGAATCAAGGGCCGCGGATGGTCAGTATAAAAATTCAACTCCCGCGCGCCACCAAAAGGCACTATTGAAGGCACCGTCCACCCAAAATGGGGGTTGGCGAGATTATGATGGCATACTAGTGTGGGCCCCCATACTAGACAAACCCCCAAGTTTCGCCGCAAAAGACTGCTTCTGGAGCGAGAAATCCGCTCCGGAAGTAGCAAAGTGGACGGGGCGCCCCCGGTCGCCCCGCCCACTTGCATGCTTTATCTCGCCTGCACTTGTTGCAGAGTGTTCTCAAAACAGGGACTTTTGGGGGTTTCGCGAATTTTCGACTCCATATTCGGAATCAGGGCTTTCAAAAGGCCTGAAGGCGACAAAAACATTGAATTCGAGTTGTGTGGACCGCCGGGGGCGCCCCGCCCACTTTGTTACTTCCAGAGCGGATATCTCGCTTGAGAAGTAGTCCTTTGCGGCGAACCTTGGAGGTTTGTCTAGTATGAGGGCCCACACTAGTATGCCATCATAATCTCGCCAACCTCCATTTTGGGTGTACGGTGCCTTTAAGGGCCGCGGATGCTCGTAATAACTGTTTGAGAACCTACTAGGTATGAATGCGTGTAATGAATGTTTGTGAGCGTATTGAGTGCTGACTGAGTAGGAGTTTTGCAGACTTTGCTAAGTTGAGATCTAATTTCTAGGCATTCATTATCTTTAGATTTTTTCAAGAGTTAGGCAGATTACGACTTAGCGGACTTCTGATGGTCACTTTGTAGGGTATGCTTTGTTTTACGAGTGGTGCCCCGTCCAATGTACCAGCCCTATAGAAATGTAAATATACAGGGTGTCCCAAAAAAATGTTAACACTGTTTGGTCATTAATAACTCCCTTGATTTCATGTCTTTCGGCGAGCTTTAGGTACCATTCTGTAGAGCGAGGTCAACTTAGATTCACAGTATGGACCAAATCATCTAACGCTCCTCGTTACTGTAGAATTACGGCAGGAAATTTGCCAAGGATTTTAGGCCATTAAAGCCATTTTTGCTTCGAAACAGAGCCAAACAAGCCAAAATCTCTTGCACTATGGTAATGAAAGCCGCTGATTTCGGATATGAGATTTCCATTTTATTATGATACTTCTTTCCAAAGTTATCCTAGGTAAAGTGTAATAATTGACTTCCCAGCATGTGTCAAAAATGTGTTTACAACGTCAAAAAAGCTGAAAACACTGGTAAAAACCTGTGTAGTAAAATCAGCGTACGCGAAAACCCTAGTACACAATTTTTCAGATCTTTTGAAAAAAATATTGGCAGAGGGCATATTTCACGACGGTTCCACATGTTGGAATTTCTTACCGTAATCCTACAGTAACGAAGAGCGAACGGTACTTCGCTCCATACCTTAAATCTAAGTTGAACCTCGCTCTACAGAATGGTATCTAAAGCTCGTCGAAAGACATGAAATCAAAGGAGTTATTAACGATCAAACAGTGTTAACATTTTTTTGGGACACCTTGTATATATATATGAACAAGGCGACACCCCTGCTCCACAAAGGCTCACACTGATTTCCTAGTCTATGTAATTTACTTGCCTTCTCTGTGCCCATGTTATGATAACAATGAAACTTACCCCGCCATGCTGCCCAACAGAATGAAATGTAAGTGATAACACACTTCAAAAGCTTTTCCATCAGTTGCTCTATGACAAAGGAACTTTTTTGTAAAAAAAAGTGAATTGATCAGTTATTGAACCTGTAACTGATTGATAGTCGCCACACGGACATTGGCCACTGTAAGCTACGTCTCTATGCCAAATCTACGTAATTTCTTGCATAAGACTTTGACAATTCGAGGTTATAAAATGTTGAAAGTAAAGATGAATCGAAATTCTTCCGCACACTTTCAATTTGCAAAGAAATTAAAACTTCCTCAATCTCCGATGCGCCCAAGGTAATTTTTTCTCTTCTATTGTGAACAATGTCAGTATTTTCAATCACTGAATGTTGTGTACTCTCTTGTCAGGCCGAGTCCGCATGTCATGACATTCGCCTTAAAACGCTGGTCTTAAAAACGTATTCGTTATCTGCAGAACGATATTTCGGAAAACCGTACTTCCCCTCATCTGACATGTTTGCACAAGATAGAGTAGTTTCGATAGGTGCGAAAGCTCTCCATTGGTCTAGTGTTCAGCGCTGTCGATTATTGCACAACGGATGCCCGTTTGATCTCACTCGTGCTCATATTTCTGCGTTAGCGCTTTTACAATCGCTAATTCTTTTCGGAAAAGCGTTCAGCTAACGGAGATAGTTTCGAAATCAGCATGTCAAGGCAAGCATTTTAAAGTATAACATATTCCAAAAAGCCACAGCCAGTTATCTTTCTCTTGTAAGAACAAATGGATTATCGCAGTAATGATGTCGATGAGAGACACGTCGAACTCGGATTCAATGAAAAACTCAAATTTTATAACTTTGCCTCTATAGGATTCCGATCGATTCATGCTTAGCATTGTCGGAATGAACAGAAGAAGAATACAGATCCTTAGAGCACTGAGCTATGAAGCGGACACTACCTGAATAGGAACCCTTATCGGGACGGACGATTGATACCACCCCAAAAGCTATATTAGTGCTTCTCCGGTATTCAAATAGATTCTTTTGATGTAACTGATAGTAACTGATTATACATAGAAAGTCCCTTCATGCTTTGATAGTAACTGATTATACATAGAAAGTCCCTTCATGCTTGTTGGTTTCAATTATGGGATAAGAAAAAACTCGTAGAGTCTAGCTCAAAATCCTGTTTTGGGCTGCATTTAGTGGGTACTCAGCAAAGGTAGGCAATGCTCATAGCAATTTGTCCTAAACGATATCAGTTCGGTAGATAAATTCCAGTTCTGGACAAACATCGGCAATTCCGCATTCGTAATGGGTAGCATTTGGAGCAAAGAGTCGTAAGACATTAAAGTAGCAACATCTCCAAAAAGCTGGAAAAAGTGGCCAAGGAAACCAAAAATACGTGATCTGCAAACACCTTCTCTTGCTCGTAACTGTGGACTATAATGAATAGTAACTTCATGCATAAAAATTATGTTTTTTTTTAATAAACGAAAGCACAAAATCTTTAGGAAAAGTGTAACTTACAAGTAGCCCAACAGGGAATCCTGGAGAACTTCCTGGATTTCTCGATAATCGTCCTTGAGTCGAGAGTCTCGAGGTCTCTACTCGTCTAAATGGTTTAGTAAGTAACAAGACTGCTTTGCTAAAAACTAGTAAGGCCGCATGAAATAATTTCTAAATGCGGAAGTTCCTTGAAATTTTTTGATATGAGTTCCAGGTAATGCACTATAAATAGAAGAGTTGCCTATGAGCGGACACTTCTATTTAGTGGTTTTCACCCCTCACTTGTACCAAAATGTTTTCAGTTAGATGAACTCAAACTGAAATGTATTTCTTTCAGCTAGCAGCTTCTCTGATACTTTTCACCAATGAAGGCGTCTGTGATTATCATCTTGTCGCTTCTGAGTTTGGCTTTGACGTTTGATTTGGCACAATCACATCCATTATCCGATTCATTGATTGATGACAAGTCAGAAGAAGTGGATACACAACGGTAATCTTACTACAAATTTGAAAGACGGGGATTTGCCAATATATAACATGAGAAAAGCCGAGGCATCGGTCACTTCATCAACATAATATACAATACGCTAAAAAAAATTTACGAACTATCTGACTATTTTTAGCTTGCTCATATCTCGTTCTTCTTTGGTCAGAGTACCACATGTAAGAGCTAATTTGAACTTAAATCACTGAATGCATCGTCAGCGCTCCATCCTAGCAATACATTATGAATGAAAATTTCGCAAGGGGAAACCGCTTTGAGTTCCAGTTTTTGACTTTGTTTCTGATTCAGTAAATAGCTTGATTTGTAGAAATCTATCTAGAACCAACAAATCCACTTCGCAATGTTTCGGCAGCCAGAAAGATAGCGAGTTAGCGCAGCAGCATTTTCTCATTGTCTCTCAAGAACTTGTTTTTGCCATTCAAAACAACTGAGTCCAGATCATGCGTACCATTTGGAAGTTAACATATATCAGTATACCGGTATATTCAAACACATTGCGAAACTATTCTTGCAAATTTCTGATTTACAAGGTGAATTATTCTAGTAAATTTAATGGGAGCATACGCAATCCTGTGGTAATCACAAAGCTCGGTGATCTGCCCATATACAGCCAGCACTTCAAAATTTATACGAAGCAAGTACAATTGAGTTATTTGCGACTTATTAGTATTTGTATCGCATGAACATCATCTCAGAAATAGTGCACCTGCTCAGATAATCGCCGCGGGCAGGCGGCCATGCGATTTTTGAGCAAGCGGGCATCGGAAAAATAGTTCGCTGATTTCTTGCGGTCCATTTGCAGAAAATTGGAATAATTCTGCCAATTTTTAGACGAATGCTCAGAGAACTATCGCAGTCCTGTGGATAAGTTGCGGCGCAGTGGCCGCATTCTCGCGACTCCGCGAGAATATGCAAAATTGTTGTGGGCCGCACGGTCCTTTGTGAAGGATCGCACTGCCCACGATACCTTCCTCTTAGAAAACGTACCCCGAACTCGGGTAATTAAACCATCCATGACACCTCTGCCACATAGAGTCTCACCTTTGCTCTTCGTACGCCCGAAACTGCGTTAAAGAAGTCTCAGCGCTTGCTGAAACCTTAGCTAGTGCTTGCTTGAAGAAATTATTTGCCGAGCGCTCGCAGAAAATGCTGTATTGCTGCCCGCTGGCAGAATATGCAACAGTAAAGGAAGTACCGCCCGCTGAAGGTTTAGCCAAGCCCCAAGATTCTGCTGACCGCCCGCAGAAACGCGCGAGTTTGCGGACCGCCTGCCAACTCTGAGTGTAGGCCCAGCATTTTAAGGGACCCTTTTTTTGTCTTTTCCATTTTTGTGGACGCTGTACAGTAGACCTATTTACCTATTTACTTCCAATCTGTTTACTTGCGGACGTTTTTGAGAACTGTTTTTGATTAATGAGTCTTGGGATCCCGCACAGAATGTGCATACTGTACTCGACTGTACAACTTTATTGCTTTCAGACGAAGTGCATGTATATAAATGCCCATATTTTTCAGCAGCATCCGCCAGAAAAGACAGTTCTACGCATATGGAGTGCCTGCACTTGCAGCCTATCATTCGGTCGCCTATCCTAGCTATCTCCGTGTTTATCATCCTGGCTACGTGTATCTATAGGAATCGGACCATTTCCTGATGTGAACATAGCTGATAGGTTTTGATTCTGTATTATGACGTTTTTCCGTTTGTATCCGTCTGGATATCGCTTTCATAAACTTTTATCTTCTATCTGTCGAGATTTGTACCGTCTAAATGACTTATGTTTACCATAGGCCTTAGATGTGTAGCAGAACTGGAACCATAATCGCCTTCCGGAGCAATTCGAGGCTACACTTCAGTTATATGATTGCCAAATTTCTTCATAATAAAACCTGTAGTTGTCTAAAAGCCGCATGTATTAACATCTCCACTGGGAAATGGAACGCAGCTCAAAAGAGTGTTTCGAAATTCTAAGCTTTAAACATCTAGTTTTTCTTTTCTATCCATCCGCAAGTTTCTATCACCCTTTGCTCCAAACATATTGTCCAGGAGTGAGAAGCAGTAGAAGCTGTATTTTCAGGTTTTTGTATGATCCCTTAATGATCATTAGTGACGCCTCTTCTTCAAAGTCATTTTTCTTCATTTAAAGTTAATAAAAGGGTAAAGGTATCAAACATTTTCTGATAAATTTAAATAATGTATCAGAATCATGAAAATTTTGATGAATCACAAGTTCAAAGTTGAGGTTTATTGAAACTCAGTAATCTGACACCCCAATTGCTCTTATCAGAAAGGTGTTGAGTACTGTTACGCTGATAATCGGCAGAATTTTAAGAAGTTGTTAATAATTTTGAAGAGAGAAAAAGTGATTTTAAAGAAGAAAGGTCGGCCGCAAGGGATCATAGGGGAACCATACAATACCACTCTCAAAATCTGCAAAATTTCCTGGAATTCCGCGGGTTTCCGAGAATCCCGCACAATTTGGGGAATTCCGCTTCCAGGAATTTCGCGAAATCAGCGCGAATCAAGCAAACTACGCAGCGCCATAACTTCCTTCTGAATGAATATATTCTGAATCCAGAAGCAGCATTGTGTTCAGCTCGTCAAGCCGAATCTTTCCGTGTGCAGCATGTCTTTACTTTACTTTACTTTACTTATACACTCAAAGGTGTAACACAAAAGAAAAAGAAACAGCAGAATACAATGCCAGCTAGTCTTAAACGCAACGGAAGTCAAACGCGCACGTTAGAATGAACTAGAAGACTCAGTCCCATAAAATCTGCCAAACAATCAGCAAAGAATACTCAATCAAAGAACGATTAAGCAGCAGAATCTTGCTTTATCTAGATTGATAGACCCTTTTTTTGGCAGTCAACGAGCCTGCGGAAGCTAGCTGACTTGACCCCGGAAAAACTAACTGTAGATGAAGGCAAGATTCTGAGCGAATTTCTAGTTATAAAGACTAAACAGTACATGTTTAGACTATTTAAAAGCAATGATTGGGTCTAGGTTCAGACGAGGCATTAGATGTCAATTGAAGTCATTCCGCTGTGTATTAAGACAAGCTGGTTTCAATTATAAAGTATCAATGAATAGTAACAATCGAAAAAATATGGTTAGCGGTCGACACAGTACTTGATCTGGCTATTTTTCACAACAGAGAATTAGAGCACAGCTGCACTGTAATAAAACCATTTGGCGAAGCAGCTCTTGAGGGAGCAGTTGATGCCACATAAGGCCCCGGTCAGACTTCACGCGATTTAATCATCGCGATCTAATCGCCAAGATTTCCATTCATTTTCATTTCACATTCAAAAATTTCGGGCTGGAAAAGTATCACGACCGAATGCAAGTTGGTCGGCATGGAATGATGTTGTAACAGTTGTCTCGTCGCGATTCAGTCGCGACGATCAAAACGCGTGAAGTCTGCCCGGGGCCTGAATGAAATAGATTCTCAGTTGCAGTCCAAACGGAAGGAGCATAAAGTATAAGCCATAATTCATACAGCACAAATAGTCACCAGTCAAAAAAGCACACTTGAGCCAGATCTGAAAATGTCCTCGATATTCCGTTTCCAGTTTCCTCAAATTCTTCTGCGGAGGTCCTTTCGCAAGAATTTAACGCAGCGCCTATCCAACTTAAAAGATACCTGTAAGTAGTAGTCGATAGTACTTCTTCTGTAGAATATGGAGCGCCAAAGAGTAACCGCAGACTTCTTTCCAAAAGAGATAAAAGCGCTGGCGAATTCTGGAAAAATCACGCTTTTCTAAATTCTACTCGCCGTAAATTCCTTTGAAATGACCATATTCTGAATCGGAAGGAAGCATTGTGCTCAGCTTTTCAAGACGAATCTTTCTATATGCAGCGTATCCTTGAAATCTTGATTTCAGTATTCTGCAGTCTTTTTGCGGACGGTCAAAGGTGTAAAGCAGCGCGCACTGCCCCTAGTAGATTCCAGCAAGAAAATTTCGATAGTACTTCGACAGTACTTCTTCTGTAGATTATGGAGCGCCAAAAAAGTTGCCGCAGACTTCTTTCCAAAGGAGATAGAAGGGCTGATGAATTCTGGAAAAATTATGTCGTTCTGAATTTTACTCACCATAACCCTAAAATATAAAGCTCTTTTTCTGAGCGGATATAATTTTCATAATCAGCAGGTCGGATAACCTCTAGAGCAAGTTTTCCGAGATGTTCGGCTTATTTCATTTTTTCTCGTTTTACGCTCTAATGCTCGCCGGTGGTTTTTGGTCAAAATGTTAATGAGCTTCGATTGTAAAGAAACTTCGTATAGAGGTTTTCGGACACGCTGTTTACGAAAATCATGGTCTTTGGGGAATAAAAGATCTTTTGCAGAGATATGGTGAGGTAACTGTGACTGAGTCACGAAAATTCGCAATTCGCCTGCACTTCTCGCGCATCTTCTAGAAAACTTGACTGCTTGCTTTCATGGGTTAATGTTAATAGGAGATCCGCGGAAAAAATGTCCCGGAATTCCGCGGAATTCCCGGACATTTTGCACATTTTAAGAGTGGTATTGTACAAAAAGCTGGAAATTGTAACTTGTACGATTTCTCGCTTCTGTTCGATATGTTTATAGTAAAGGGCAGAAGAAGCGATTACGGAGAGATAGACAGCAAGAAATCCAAATGTTTAGAGCTTTAGAATATGGAGCTTTCTTTTGAGCTGCTTCTCCTCTTCAGCAAGGATGTTAATGCATGTGGCCATAAGGTAAACTAGGGGCACTGTTGATTTAGCACCAAAGTTGATGATCAGAATGAGCTTGTTTCTGCTTCACTGGCTGACTCTTGTAGTATAAGTAGCTTAGATCTCTTAATAGTGATAAAAATAGAGATGGTTATACACAAAGTGTGTTACCTATAAACTAGAAACCATTTATATGTAAATTTTGTATGTAAGTTTTAACTCCGTTTCGTTCCTGCCCTTAGACGGAGTACAGGAACTCCGGGCTCTCCCCGGAACTCCTCAGTAAGGAAGGAGAGCCCGTAAACCCGCTCTATTATATATCAAAATTTTTGCCAAATGTTAAACTTAAATGATCAAATTTAACTTACATATTGATGATCTTATCGTATATTGTGTATAGATAAATAATATAATAGTCTTAATAGCTGCCGTGAATAGAAATCTTTTGAGTATTAAGTGAGACATATTTGTGTATTTTTGTAAGTAAATTTTTTGTCATAATATTGATTCATTTCTAATGGAATCAATGATCAAGTCGGCTGTTCGTTATGTTTCTTATGTAATAGTCACTTATGGTAATAAGAACGAACGATTATTGGTTAGAAATATAAAGTTAGATGAAATATTTATGTATTTTGACAAATACTGGTTCAAGGCATTAGATATTACTTTGATCCTAATGTATTTTTTTGATGTAGAATGTGAAACAAATTTTTAGTTTTATTGTAATTGTGAAATTCATATTTATATAGTATGAACTTATTTTTATGTAGACATTTTAAAATATTTGAAAGAATTATGGGTACTTTTCCGTTATCCGGACCCATTTTTTCAAAAGGCTCTCATATTATAGTTCTTTAGTCAAAGAATAATTTTTCATAGACGCTACGAGGACTGCCTCCTTGCCACGTGTCACAAAAAAATTGACACGTTTTAGTCGATTTTGACAGGTTTTTTCGAAATCATTTCCGGTGAGGTAAAAGAGATTTTGTGATCATTCTAAAGCTGCTCAACTGCTTTACATAAGCAAAAAACAATCATGAACTTATCCTGAAACATCTTGCTTGCTTTTAACACTGATTCAAAAGCGTATTTCTCTTCAATTCCTTTTCCCCATGTGAATTTAGCTGAAAAAACTATAAATGATAGCCTGAAGTGCCTGGCTGCTGCTTATTTCGCTTCTTAAATAACAGAAATCTAGCGCACTTCTCTATCCCGAGCAAGTCTAAATCTGTTCACCGATGATGGTATGTTGTTATTATTATGACAATGTTCACTTTAAAACTGTTTGATCGAAATGAGGTCAAAATTTACTAAAAAACAGAATGAACTTACATCGCTAGCTAGGGTAACACAAACTCTTGGTTAAAACCTGTTAAACATGTAGATGACACGTCAAATTTTTTTGACACGTGGCAGAAGGTTGACACTCCTTTCTATGAAGCTGGGACAAAATATGGTACAAGGATAGAAGCAATATCCTTCTTTGAAAAAATGGGTCCGGATAACGGAAAAGTACCGAATTATGTTTTCATCGTAACCATTAGAGATAGGTATGTTTCTCAGTTGTAACACTTTCTCAATAAAATCATTAAAATAGGTGCAAGTACGTGCAATTCTTAAAGTTTCTGTGTAAACTATAGCTTTTTTGATATGGATGGAAACATTAGAAGTCATGTGTGTATATTTTTTTACTTGAAAATGAAAACTATCTGTCTTATTATACATTTTGGTCACTATCTTGTTATTAACAATTGTAATGTTTAAGTCGAGATAATTACAGTTGAATTTATCCTCGTGTGTAGTATCTAAATCTAGTTTGTTTTCATATACGTTGATGATTGTATTATTAACTTCAGTTTCTGTGCTGTTATGTATGATTAATAAATCGTCCATATATCGGAATACATAAAGGTGATTGTTGTAATTGGTTTTCTGAATCAAGTATTTATATTCATACCAAGATAACGTGAGATTTGCCATTAAAGGGCTAAAATTACCTCCCTGTGGTACACCAACTTTTTG